GACTCAAAATGGAGAAAATTAGCGGCATCTCATCACAACAGCGGCAATTAGAAGTACGCTTTAATTGTTGATGCCCAGCTCTCAAAAATGATTAATATACTTTTAATATTATTTCAGAAGCGTTCCAGCAAAAATTCAACGAATCTGTGGAAATAATGGAGCGAATAACCAAAAGATATTTCCAGGATCTCAAAACGGAATAAAAGAAATTATTCACAGTCGTCTGCATAAATATACTATCTGTCATATTGATAAGTTTTAACAATTTATTTTTTGTTACTTCATTTTAGTTATCTTTATAAAAATTGGGTTTATTTTTTAACAAGGACCATATAGTTCAAAATTCAAAAATTGCGCAATATACATATGCATATATGCAAATATAAAAAAAAATTAACAAGCTTTTATAAACATTTTAAGATTTTTATTCTGCATTAAAGAAGCACATATGAAGCAGTTTTAAAGTCCATTGAAGTTTGGTATATATAATAGAATACAAGGTTGAAGTGGCTGCATTTTCTGTCATAAAATTCATATGGATGAAAATGCGCAGTACCGCATTTATGTATATTTAAAAAACTTTGAAAAAAATTCAGGGAACTAAATTAAACTATTTTATACTAAAAAAATTGTTTTTAATTAGCAATTTTGAGCGTCGTTTTGCAGTTCGCTGGTATATCGTTCTTGCGGGCTGCAGGGGAGTCGTTTTTGCGACCCACCAGTAAGTCGTTTTTGCGGCCCGCCGGCGAAGTGTGCTCTACAAATTGTTCACCAAAACGAGTCGGAAACGACGTCGTTTGGCAAATTGGGAAGCTTGAGTACTTTACCCCAAATATTTGAAGTGATATGCCATATGAAACTTTCAGTCAGTATGGGAGGTGCTACGCCTCTTTTCCAAAAACGTCCATTTTTCTCCGTAAATATGAATATGATTTCACACAGTGTTGGCAAAATGTTAATCTGATTAACGATTAAAAATTAACGATTAAAATGTTAATCACGTTTGACGATTAAAATTAATTAGTCGTAGTCAACTGTATGATTAATGATTAAATTTTTTAATCGTTAATCGCTGACTGCGATTACTATTAATTAATTTTAATCATTAATCGTTAATCCAATTAAAAATAAAATCTGATTAAGTGTTCCAGTTTGTCCGAATTTGAAACCAAACACCAGTTTAGTAATTATTTTGTGTTTTATTATTTTTATTAGTAATACATAAACTGGGAACTTTTACAAACCTAGTTTGTAAAACGTTTGTTGAAAATGCACACCAAATTGCTTAGATTGATGAGGAAACCCGACTTAGCCATACCGGATAAACTTGTTTTGTGTGCACAAGGAAATTCCAGCATAAATTAATTAATCACCAAACATACTTGATCACATTAAGAGTTAATGATTAAAAACTAATTTTTTTTAATCGCGGTTACGATTAACTGTTTAGTCAGATTAAAATTAATCATGATTAACTGTAATCGGATTGAATTTTATCGAATTAACTAATAAATAAATAATCGCTTAATTTCAACATTGATTTCAAATACATATCTCTATACCAAGTTCCTGCTCTCTCCCACAAATACTTCCAGAGATATGTATGTAATATGAAAATTCCAGTTTGTATGGGAGGGGCCTTGAGTTATCGCACTTTCTTTCAGTCTAAGACCATCCTTGCGAAATAGGTAGTAAGTGTACCAAATTTCGTTCTGATCGAGAAAGCCGGTTAAGGAAGTAACCTATTTTTCAATCCAGGTCATAAACCATCTGTGAGCAAAAATTCATTTTCAAACAGGTGAAAATTCTTAAAAAAGTAGTCTATTTTGCAATTTAGGTCATAAGCTATCTGAGTGCAAACTTTCATGCAAATTACTCAGTCATTTCCGCTTATTAATTTAGTTAAACTTTTCTAATAGGTGGCAACTCCTAAAATAGTAGCCTATTTTCCAACTTAGGTCATAAGTACGGTGACCATCCGTCCTTTATTTTAAAGGACAGTCCTTTATTCTAACCCCCTGTCCTTTATAATTTTTTTCAAAATAAAGGACGCCTTTTGCCCTTTATTTCTTAAACTGTCCTTTAAATCGGCTCTGTATTTTTCAGAGGTAAATTTTTTAGCGCAGAATATGAAAAATAAAAATGTCCCTTATAAAATACAATGAAAACCTTCGCCAGTTTGTTTCGCACCCCACTTATGGATTTCCAATTACTCAGTTATCTTTGTACAATCTATAAAACAGGGAAAGTTGTGCCCAGGATCATCTTGCACGCTGAGTTTCCAGTTCCACTAAAAGAGAACAATAAACCTCCTACTGCACAGTGGTTCAAAACTGGCATTTAGTGTTCGTAATTCCCCGGAGCCTGCAGTTTTCACTTCATTTGATTAATTAAATTTTTTTTATGAAAGGCTACAATAATTGCAATAGACCAGTTGAGCCTGATTTCTGAATTTTTATTTGATTATATTAAATTTTTTTGTGCAAAATGCAGAAAGAGTAGCAGTTTTAAAGAAAAAGTATTTTCTGTTCCAGTTAATAAATGTTACATAACAGAAACTAGTTGAAAACAATCCTATGGTTCACCCCATGATAAAAACATTACAAGGTAAAATCATTGAGACGCAG